TTTATTAGTTTTAATGAACATTTACAGAGATTTTGGGTTTTCATTCATCTACAGCTAATATTAACTCCAATCATGACCCCCAGGCATTCCACAAAGTAGGTGGGTCACCATAGGGGCAACCTTTACACACTCAAAAATTCTTCTCACAAATTAGCAGTGGGGCATCACACTGGATTGTTATTTTTCTTACTCATAAGGCATTCTGTAGTTCATTTTATGTGCTAGCATACTAGCTTTTATCCAAAATTTTAATATTAAAGTGCTTTCCTGATAGTCGTTATTATGCTGTCGAGTTGCTTGCGACTAATAGCGACCCCATGTACAACAGCCCTAAACTCTGCTTTATCCTGCGCCAATGGCATTGCCTCTGACACACCCATCCCAATTACCCCAGTCACTGAATCAGTCCATCTCAGAGGGTCTTCCCCTCCTGCGCCGTCCCTCCATCCTCCCAAGCATGATGTCCCTCTCCAAGGACCTGCCCCTCCTTACAACTTGTACAAAGTATGTCAGACGAAGCCCCAGAATCCTTGCATCCAAGGAGCATCCTGGTTTAACCCTCTCCTGGATAAATGTGTTTGTTTTCTTGGCAGTCCAGGGTATATTCAGTACTCTTCTCCAGCACCACAGCTCAAAGGCATCAATTCTCCTTCTGTCTTCCTTGGTCACTGTCCAACTCTCTGATGCATAACAAGTGATTGCAAAGACCATAGCCTGTATCAGATGCACCTAAGTCTCCAGAGTGACACCATTGCTCTTCAGTACCCTGGAGAGGTCCCTAACAGCAGACTTTCCCATCGCAATACGTTTTTTGATTTCCTGGCTACTGGTGCCAAGAGTGTTGACTGTGGAGCCAAGCAGACTAAAGTTATTAACAATCTCTTCACCATCCATCCCGATGCTGCCAATAGTTACGAAACCATAATAGACATTTAAAGAATCTCTTGAAAGCATCATACCAGTCTTCCAATACATTCTGAGTTCTTAAGATGGATTAATAAAGCTTGAAGAAATAATAATAAATCTGCATTTAGGAGTTCTAACTGACCTGGTATTTTTAACCTGAAGACTCAACAAACAATACATAGTAAGTAGCATCTTAAACACTGAAGAATTTTGCACAATAGCCTTTAGTATATTACTAGAAAAATGACAAGAGGAAAAAATACAAGGCATTTCAGTGTCTTGCTTTAATACAATCTTTTATGTAAATCAAAGAAAATAGAAAAAGATTGTATGACTATAGAGGAAACAAAGGAAATGCAAACAAAAAACATTTTCATAAAACAGAAGAAAACACTGGCTTGATGGTTTTTCTTAAGATAAATGAGAATTACAGCTTTGCTTAGATTGGTTCTAAAATCAGGTAAGAGAAATCTCACATGTTAGAAACTTAGCACACGAGGCTGAGCAGGGAAGAAGGATAATGGAGGGATCACATTTAGATAAAAAATATTCAAGTGCATTAACAAATACAACTGGTTTTATTGGTGAAATTGGTTATTTTTTCTAAGCAGTTTCTTTAGAATAGACTACGTTAATTCTAATTCTAATCCTGAGGGAAGAAGGTTAGAAACTACGATTGCAATAATTGTAAGGAACATCATAAAAGATCTCAATATTGTTGATCTA